CATTGCCCAACATTCATGAAGTGTTCTCTAAGGTTCGACGTGAGGAAAGCAGAAGAAAGGTAATGCTTTGAAGCACTACTACCTACCCGGTTGGAGAAGGGGCTGCAAACGGACAGCTTTATACCCATCACCTAGTGGGAAATTTCAACAAGGTAATTCCTGGAAAAGGTCATGACGGCCATGGTGCGACCACTGCAAACGGACAGGTCACACAAAAGAAGTATGTTGGAAAATTAATGGGAAACCAATGGATTGGAAATCAAATCTCTCAGAAAACAATGGCCGTGCAAATATAGCAACTTCTCAAAGTCATGAACCGTTCAACAACGAACAGGTAGCAAGCCTCATAAAATTCTCCATGACACGCTATGGGGAACTCAATCCTTTGATCAGACAAAGACTGTAATTGTGGCACAAAGGAATGGTTGACCACTCATATGGAGCAAAAAAGACCATGGATTATGGATTCTGGAGCATCAAATCATATGACTGGTAACCGAAACATCTTCTCCAATTTTCAGCCAGAATCAAGTGGTGCCATCGTACGAGTGGCAGATGGGTCCAATTCACCGGTCACGTACAGTTATTACATCAAAGGAAATCGAGTTAAAATGTGTACTTTATGTTCCAAATCTGGAGTACAACTTTCTATCTGTTAGAAAACTCACCCAAGACTTGAATTGTTATGCTAATATTCTCCATGATATATGTGAATTTCAGGTTTTGAACTCGGAAAAGAAGATTGACAGTGCGAAGTTCAGGCAGGTGTGTATCTCCTTAATACCAATGTGTTCGCCAACCCCTCCAAATTCAAGCCAGCCTTGTTTACGGTTTCTAGCATAAAAAATGATGTTATGTTATCGCACCGTAGACTAGGTCATCCCAATTTTTTGTACTTAAATAAATTATTCCTTGAATTAGTAAAGGATTCTAGTTCTCTTAAATGCAAAACATGTCAAATTTCGAAACATGTTCGACATTCCTACCAGCAAGTTCCTTATAAAGCCTCTCATCCATTTCACCTTATTCACAGTGATGTTTGGGGACCTTCTTGGATAAAAAATATAACCGGGTCTCGGTGGTTCGTCATGTTTATCAATGACCATACTCGCATAACTTGGTTATTCTTAATGAAGTAAAAATCCGAAGTTGGGACTATCTTCCAAAAGTTCCACAAAATGATTTAAACCCAATTTTCCTAAAAAATCCAAATTCTAAAAACCGATAATGCTGAAGAATATTTCGAGCCCGAACTTGGAACATACATTTCCCAAGAAGGGATTGTCCACTTCAGTTCCTACGTAAACACACCCCAACAAAATGGCATGGCTGAAAGAAAAAACCGACATCTCTTAGAGGTTACTCGCTCTCTCCCATTAGCCAACCATGTTCTTAAGCACTACTGGGGAGAGGCTGTTATGACGTCCACATATTTGATCAATCGCATGCCCTCTTGAATCCTCACTTTCCAAACACCACACCAAACACTCTTATCCACCTATCCTCATCTCAAACTCATATCCCATATTCCTCTAAAAGTGTTTGGGTGTATAGCCTTTGTCCACAATACACAGCCAAACCGAAGCAAACTTGATCTGCAAGCGTTTAAATGTATATTTCTTGGGTATTCTCATAACCAAAAAGGGTACAAGTGCTACTCTCCATCCACAAACAAAGTATACAACACCATGGATGTTACCTTCTTCGAAGAACAACCATTCTATGCCAAAACCGATATTCCGGGGGAGAGTGTGGAAGAATACCGTTCCTAGCATACTCAGACACCACAAATCAGCCTTCACCTGTCCCCTCTCAGTCCTCACCAATCTCAAATTCACCGGTCTCAAACACAATTCCAAGAGATTACATTGTGTATACAAGGTCACAGAAACCTACCGTTGAGCCAATACACTGTCAAATTACTTCTCCAGGTTCACAACCGGCAAATGATCATACAGGTTGTAATCCTTCTCGTATAATACTGAAAATTTTGATGACCTGAAAATTCCAATAGCTCTCAGAAAAGGGAAACGGAGTTGTACGATGCACCTGATAGGAAACTTCGTGTCATATGAGAAATTATCACCCAAGTATAGACTTTTCACTACCAACTTGGATGAGATAAAAATTCCCATGAACATACAAGAAGCTGTTTATCAGAAGGAATGGAATGAAGCAGTAAACGAGGAGGTCAAAGCCCTGAAAAGCAACGGCACATGGGAATGTATGGAACTACAAAAAAGGAAAGAAGACAGTTGGGTGTAAATGGGTTTTCTCCGTAAAATACAATGCCGATGGAAGCATTTGCAGATATAAGACCAGGTTGCTGGCCAAAGGTTTCACTCAATCATACAGAATTGACTACAACGAGACCTTTGCACCGGTCACCAAACTTAACTCCATACATGTGCTATTGTCTATAGCCGCTAACGGCCTCTACACCAGTTGGACATCAAGAATGCTTTCTTAAAAGGAAAACTAAAGGAAGAAGTCTATATGGATGTGCCCCCAAGAGTGGAATCTGGCGAAAATCAAGGGAAGGTGTGAATTGTTAAAATCATTATATGGTCTAAAGCAATCCCCACATGCTTGGTTTGACAGGCTCACTCAGTACTAAAGAAACATGGCTTCATTCAAAGGAAAATTGACCACATAATGTTTACCAAACACTCCTCGGACGGTCGAATTGTTGTGATGATCGTGTATGTGGACAACATCATCAATCCTGGAGATTTTTTTCAAGAGATCGCCCGTCTAAAAACAATTCTTGGAAAAGAGTTCAAAGTCAAAGATCTAGGATGGTTAAAATACTTCATAGGAATAGAGATCGCCAGATCAAAGAAAGGAATTGTTGTATCAAAGAGAAAATATACTCTTAATCTTCTCTCGGAAACCGGAGTTTTGGGATGCAAGCCAACAAGTATTCCAATGGAACCCGCGAGCAAGCACCTCAACCAAAAGAAGATGCAGAGTAGTGGATAAAGGGAGATATCAACGGCTGGTTGGAAAATTAATATTTCTCGCCCATACAAGACCGGATATTGGATATGCAGTCAATGATCAGCAGGTTCATGAATACTCCAACTAAGCAAAACATGGATGTTGTGTTCCAGATCCTCCGCTATCTCAAGAAAAATCCAGGATATGGACTCTTCTTCAGAAAAACAAATAGGAGAGACCTTCAAATTTGAACCGATGGAAGATCCATAACAGGTTATTGTACCTTTGTTTGAGGAAATTTGGTAACCTGAAGAAGTAAGAAATGACAAGTGGTTTCCAGGAGTAGTGCTGAGGCTGAATTCAGGGTCATGTGCCATGGGATTTGCGAAGGAATTTGGATTAAAAGGATGCTCAAGGAACTAAGGCTTCTCAACAGGAACCAATATAGCTCCTATGCGACAACAAGGCATCCATAGAAATTGCAAAACACCCGATGCATCAATATAGAACAAAACATGTGAACATAGATCGACACTTTATCAGACAGAAGATAGAAAAGGAGCCCTTTAGATCTCCTTCGTGCCATCTGAACTTCAAGTAGCAGATGTCCTTACTAAAGCTTTACCAAGGGGCAAGTTCGAAAAAATGATAAACAAGTTGGATATGATCGACGAATTTCTGGAGCTGTCAATAATTGCATCAAAGATCTCGGGGATCCTATCAATTAAGGGTGTTATCCCTGATTTCCAGCATTCTGTTTTTAGAGATTTTCTCTATCCTTTCTATAGTTGAAAGGATTCTCCTTCTTTTGTATAGGTAGCCTTGCTTTGTGTTTTACAATTAACTGGAAAATATATGAAAAGCCTTTTAGGCTCAACTTTGTTTGGTTTCTAGAGGTGTACACATGTAAGTGGAAGTGTAGATATTGATGAACTCACACCTGGTAAGTACACCAGATGTTATGAGTATATATGATCCTATTCCAAGTTGGTCGATATCAAAAAGTTGGGATGATGTCACGATGCACAGACATTCATCAAAAAAAGAAAGAAATTACTTGTAGCAATATAGGCTTATTGATCTCCTGTCAAATGACAAAGGAAAAGAGACTGCACATAATTTGAACAAAAGGATTCTGTAACATGAAGTATTCTGTTATGAAAAGGATGCTGCAATGGTAAAAAAAGATAATCCAGAAGTAAATTTCATTTTTCGTCCCTGATGTTTGTCACTTTTCTTGGAATTCGTCATTCCCACTAGCGGCCCTTATATTTTTCGGTTAAATCTAGCTAAATGAGAGGCATTTTACATTTCCAATATTTTAATTTAATTTTTTGCAAAAATAAGAAACCCATAGACCCTCTTCTCTCTCTCCTCCCCACCCAAAGTTTGTCTTTTCTGCATAGAGATCCAAGGTTTAAGTCAAAGGAGTTTACCACTCACCAGAAAAATCCGAGAACGCATTCACAGGGTTTACCTCAGAAATGGAGCTAACCCATTATTCCAACATGATCACCTTTAGTATGGACGAGAAGGGTTGCACCTCGGTGTGTCACAGTGAAGGAGAGTTGACGATGAATGGCAGAGATGGATTTGTAGTCGGGGGGCCAAAAGTTTCGTTGGAGATGAGGAGATATATACATACATACATACATACATATAAAGTAAATTGCATAAATAGTCCATGTTTTATGCTCAAATCTGGATTTGATCCCTAAAACGCATTATTGGAGGCTTTATTTGACCCGCTTCATTATGTTTTGAAGTAATCTCCCTTCCTCTGGAATGGGGGTGGTACAGTGACAAACATCATAGATGAAAAATGTAATATTCTTTAAAGTTAATCTTATCAAATATAGAATTTGATATTACCAAAAAAGATTGCATAGGGTGAATACTACAGCTTTCTTTCGTCGACTACAAGGTTATTGAAATCATGAATTGGCATTCAAATAAAACGAGTTTAATCAAAATGTTTATAGAAGGGAACGGGTCATGTAGTGTATCTGTCTGTGCTCTATGAAAGACAGTAAGCAATCACGAGAGAGGGAGAAGGATACCTGTAACAGGTAGCAAACCAGGGAGTATCCAGCCATACTTTCCACAAAGTTCCTCTACAAAAAGAATTTACTGTCAAAGACCAGAAAGCTAAGTTTCTTCAAACAAAAGATGATGTGTTAACTTACGTTTAAGAATGCATTCAGTATACAAGTATGAAAATAGTGGTATTAAGTCCCAACAACTTTCTGATAATGTTAAGTGGATCAGTTACATCAAGCAAACAATACAGCAAATGAAAATAGCAGGCTTTAAAGGTGAAAATCACAAGTATAATACTTCACTGGGTACACAACAGAAACAAAGTTATACTCTTCTAGGACAGTTGATTGTCCTTCATTTGATAATTCAGAAATATTATTATGCATCTCAAGTTACCAGCAATTGTTTGTTTATTGCAATAAAAAAAAAGATAGATGCCTGAATTTTCTTTTTGTCTCGACCTTCTTTTGCATGGTACATGTATGTAAGGTGAGCAGAGTGCCGAATAATACATGCAGTTGTACATAAAGAGAACAGCTGATTAACCAACATTAAGAGATGGTAAAGATTTTGTCATCTCTGCAGTTTCATAATACTATCTAACAAGTAGAGGAAGGGGAGTAAAGAAAAAGGAACATAGGAAATTTGCACCATGGTAATTTGAAATAAAATGGAGGAACTACATTCACCAAAGATCACAAACTCCAATAGGATAGAAAATCATATGATTATAGCTGGTCAATTGCTTCTTATATGTCACTGTAGGGTACTCAACATAGTAGTTAATTGGGATGAGAAAGAGAGTTGCACATTGATATGGGAAACAAAAATGAGGTTTTTATTTTTAATAAGCATAAATGCGACTCAACCTTCCGTGCATGTAACAAAGTGGTGCCAGGTGCATTACTAATACCATTGTGATACTTCAAAGAAAGATTGTAAATAAGTGCAGCCTATATCACATTTTACAAGTTGATACATTTTACAGGTAAGAAGGGGAGACATGTCACAAGAAGGTCAGCCTTGTATCCAGAGGAGGGTTTTAGGGAAGCAGGGAACGACAAAGATTAACACAAAGGGTGACTGGAGAGATTTGAAGGCTAGATATATATTCTTTTGATTGGCTTAAGAATCAAGAGTGTGCATTCATGTTTCGGACTGGGGATAAAAGGCCTGTTGGTGTTGACAGGCATAGGAAAGAAAATAAGAGCACATGAAATTAGCTTTTACATAATTACTTAATTAGTAAATGCCGATTTTTAGATCTAAACAAATAAGAAGTAGCAGGTCAGCAATTTCTGTCAGGTGGAGCAGGTGATGGAAGATAAAAGTCAGAAGCCACACAAGCCAGAGCTATGTAACCATACAACATATACTCAAAAAATTTGCACACAAGTTTTTAGTTTTAAAAGTGTTAGTGTCAGAAGTTTTTGTGCTATGATTAAAAAAGTTAATAACCACACAACATATACTCCTACTTGACCTTGGGTCCTGTCCTAGAAGGTTGAGTGGATATGCTTGCTGGTGGGAGTTTGATTTTCTTTACTTTATTTTAATGAAAAGTTACTGGATGTTCCACCCTCCTTCCAAAAAGGAACTCCTTTTGGTACCGGAACTCCATCGAATGCATCTATATGTAGAAAAGATCAAAAGATCAGAAAAACAGAGTTTATATAAAGGTCAATCACAAAAAGTAGTCAGATAAGGAATCAAAAGTTTCTATTTCACACAGATGCATCTAAGAGGCATGCAGAAGCAAAAAATACATGTCTTGCTCCTAATGCAAGTATCTTTGGTACAGTAAAATTCATCAGATCCCTCTTTTCCAGCATAGAAGAAGTTTCAAGACAAGAAAAAATGTGTATGAAGGTTGATACAATAAGTTATCAGATAAGGAATCCACGATTAACATAATTGTGAAACATAAAGAATTTTTGCTATCAGATAATATGTACTCTCTTAACTATCATTTACCTGTGAAAGCTTAATTCTTGGAGAATTTTCTTGATATTTGGCAACAAAAATGTCATCTAAGAGGCATGCAGAAGCAAGAATTCATGTCTTGCTCCTAATACAAGTGTCTTTTGGTACAGTAAAACTCATCAGATCCCTCTTCTCCGGCATAGGAAATGTTTCAAGTCAAGAAAAAATGTGTATGAAGGTCGATATCAAAAAATTATCAGATAAGGAATCCACGATTAAGATAATTGTGAAACATGCAGAAATTTTGCAACCAGACAATATGTACTTCCTCTTACAACCATTTACCTGTGAAAGCTTATAACTTGGAGAATTTTCTTGATATTTGGCAACAAAAAAGTCACGTAAGCTTGTGATATCAGGATATCTACTTTTGATAGAATGAAGTGAAGCCTACAAGGAGCCCAAGAGTAAAGTATGATCAAAGTGATGACAAGAACAATAACTCAAAACTTGAACAATCAATGGATGCAGTAAATTACAGTATCTGGAATCGTTTCAATTAGAGCAGTGTAAGAAGAAGTTACTAGAACTTCATATGGGCGCAGCCATAGAGGTAATCCAGCTTCCTGGAATATATCTGACATCAAGAGATACTATCACATTTCCAGCATGCTCCAATCAAGAAAGAAACATGAATATGAGTTATTTCAATGCGGTACGATTATCAACTGTAAACATGAAGAGAGATACCAGAAATTTCCTTACATCATCGTCTTGCTTTGACTACTCATGATATGAATGTGAGAACATCAACTCCATTTCTGTGGGATTATAAGTGAGATTATCTTCGCTTTTCCATGTATATACACAGAATGTCACCAGGAACACTCTTAAGAGGGACACTTAAATAAAATTCTATATACTGACCAAGTATGGGAATTCCAGACTTGATATCAGCAAAACTCGCTTAGTATCTTTTTTGCCTAAAGAATTATGACTTTAGAGGCATTATTATAGTGGAGGCGGCAAAAGGGCGGGTTGGGCAGATTGGGTAACGGGTCAAATGCACAAGCGCGTCAAATGGGTTGAGTTGGATTGAACTGACCCTTTCGGTCCTAACACTTATTTTTTTTCAGGTTTTTTAACAATCACACATGCATATATGAACATACACACAAATACATACAAGCAAAAGCGAAAAACAAATAAGATCTGATAATAGATTACGGATGAATGAAATTATTGAATCATTTATACAAAGAATAGTTGAAAGGTATTGCATCAAAATTATATCATTACATATCAAAAATCAGTTACTTGGTTATGGAAAGATACACTATCAACTATATTGCTTTATTAGAAAGATTTTTCATAGATCATCATGAGATCATATAGTTTGTAGCATTCATTCTGAATTTGTAACATATTGTACCACGTCGTTTGCACCATATCATACCATTATGTTACGTTACATAGTATTGTATACATTTCCGTATAGCCTAATACCATTTCCCTTCATTTCTTACTGTTCTGTGTTGTTTTGTACATTGTCATACCATATCTTTTTATTTCATACTATTTTATATTCACACTATATATCATTTTGTACCATATTACATTTCAAGCTAAGAGAATTAAAAGTCTACGTACATTTTGAATTTAAAAAATTCTAGAATAGATCATGAACAAAAAAGTCTTGTAGAAATTTCATATAATTTGTTATAAAATTGAATAATAACAATAATAATTATTACAGGTGGCAAAATGGGCGGGGTTGGGTAACAGGTCAAAGCGAAGGGGGTCGAGTGGGTTGACTAATAAGTTTTCTTTTTCCCTTTTCTAATTTCATAGATAACTAAGATATTAAATACAAAAAATATTATTTGAATAGTAATCCATTTCTTTAATAAAGCAATCTAGGAGGTAGTAAACACTCGAGTATACCATGATTGATATGTAAACTGTTGGGCCTAATTGACCCGTCTTCTTTTTAGCTAATTTTTTTTAACTTGTTCATTTGATATGTTAACAGTAAAATATAAACCAGATTGACCCATTTTCACATAAAATGTTGATATTGACCCCTGATAATAATGGTAATAACTATAATAATAGTATTAATAGTGGTATATTACCCATTTGACACAGACCACTTATATTGCTGATTAAACCAATTGAGATACCCCTCCCCCTGTTCTTGATTGAACAGTGGAGATTCTTATTCTTACTCCGCATTCCCTTGTCCCCATTACTTAGCACCTCCTTCAAAAGAACCAGCCTAGACAATCATCTAAACCCTGAATTCAGTTTGAGAGTCAAAACATAGTGAAAAGTAACCAAATGCCAGACAAAATGGGCGACACAGGCAGTCTGCTGTCAGCTAGCACCAGTAATTCTCTAAGCCAGTCTGGACTTCCAACGTCTTGGGAAACTGTCCTAGGTAGATGACAGTGCCCTTTTCCCCTCCCCTTGGTCTTTTGTTCGACATAGTAGTTGTAGTCGGTGGTTATGACATGTTATTAGTAGTATGTTGATGTTCCATATTGCTTTAGATTGAGTTAATTGTACCTTCTGTTAGATAGAACTATCCAACTCGAAATTCGATTCATCTGTACTAAACTAAAGCTTATGAAACTAGTTGCATAGAGTAATCATACTCCAGTTAAAGTCACTAACTAGCTTATTAAATCAAGCAAGGAGTGAAGCCTATTAGTTCGGCTTGGAACCATATTGACAAGACAGTTATTTTATGTTGTGTGGCAAAAGTTATTGAATTGCCAGCATATATTTACTGGAAATAGGCAATAAACCAGGATGCATTCATATGGAGAAATAACAATCAAAGGCATAGAAGAATGGAACAATGCGGTTGCAAGACAAGTATGGAATCTTTTTCAACCGAGCTAACCCAATCAGGCTGTAGATGGCTTAAGTATAACAACGTGCTAATGTAAGCAACTTCTGGACAGTTGCTAAAGAAAATTATATAGCAATCCCAAACAACACATCCATTTATGATGAATATTGGCTTCCAACAGAGCTATGGCTACTTCTATCGTGCAGGATATGGGATGAAAGTGTTCCTCAGTACCAGTATAAAATGAATGACATTCTGGTGCTGAGGGGGGAAATTTTAACTTGATGCAAATATTCAAAAACTTTCTGGTTCAGAAGACATGATGGATTTTCCTTTGGAATTAAAAAATGGTTTAGTGCAGCATAGACCAGTTGGAATTGCAAATGAACAGAAGTTGAACAAATAAAGTAGATGAATAACACAAAGGATGTGTCATGTTTTCATATTATGTGTGAAAGGTTCCCAGTGATTACTGATTACTAATAACCCCAAAATCCGATTTAAAAAGGCATAAAATTTAGGGAATGAAAAAGGTTGTCGCTTCCCTTCACTCTCTCGTTGAGGTTTGAACTTATTTCGACAACAATGTCCCTGTGTAGTTACCCATGTGCATTTGCTAGACAGCCTCATTAAAACAAAATGTACATACCATAAAAGTGAGAAATAAGTTGCACTGCCAGATGTTCCTGCCGACAATCATCCCCACTTTTCACAATAACCTGATATAGAAAGTGAACAAATATTAAGACAGAAGTATATATCAAAATATAAGAAGATTAACAAATGATTGTCAAAGATAGGAGTTGGCATCTTTCCCTGATGACAATGATTAATGTAATCTGAACAGTGAACAATTCTATTGATTTTTAATGTGTCTAACATACATAGGAACATATATTCATATAAAAGGAATGAGATATCAATGTTTCCTTCCTATTTGTTTCCATAATGCTCCCTCATAAGCCAGAGAATATATATTGATCATGCCCAACTTGTTACAGATGTAGTCAATACAGATCCCATTTAATGCTTTTGTAAAAATGTATCCCAACTCATCTTCTATCGGAACACTTTGTAGTGGATCATTCTTCAATTTTTTCATGAATGAAGTGACGATCAATTTCGATATACGTTCAGGTCATTCGCAAAAGACGGGATTGGAAGTGATATGAAGAGTTGCCTGATTATCACACCATAACATTCTTGAAAGTGCAAGCATAGCAAATTTCTTTTAGTAGCTTATTTATTCATACTATCTCACAGTCATTTCATATACTCCCATTTGGCCATAGATTAAGACATTATATTTTGTTTCTTACTTTTCCATGAAGCCATATTTCCCACAACAAACACCAGTATCATGAGCCGGATCTTTTGTCACTATTTTGAATCCACCATAATCCGCATGTGAAAAAGCTTCAATTAGACACAATATGACCATGGCTCCAATAAAATAATCCTCATCTTGGCATGCGTTTAAAGAAGCAAAAAAATTGCTATAGAAGGGCCTGATGGTTAATTGTTGGAGCTGACATAAATTGACAGACAACAGAGTGCGAACATAATGTCGAATCGTGTTACCATAAGGTAAGAAATCATCATCCTCCCCTAATTGATGGACATAAGAAAGAAAAGCATATTTTCCTCAAAAATGACATCTTGACAGACGCCATAACTGTTAAATGTAAGAGAGAAGCATTAGCACCCCATTTGGACAAGAATATCTAAAGAAAACACACTAGAAAGATTTTGGATCTATCTCAAAAGGGGGACACAATCTGCTTATTGGCTCTAGGACCTAAATGAAAACAATGATGTTTGGCAAATTGACAAAAGTCACACTGTAACAACAACAAATGAGAAATTTAGGGACAACAAAAGGGTAGAGGCCACCCCCTAGAGCGTCCTGACTGCACCAGTCCCATGGCATCATGGAGGAGGTAAATCGCACATGCATCCCATTCGCAGAAGAGCGGTGCCTAGCACAACTCAGCAGCTCCTCACTCATATGGATTACACCCACACCTCTTTCCACTCGGACGAATTATTCGAGACAAAAACGTTGGGGACACACATTCTTCAAGATGGATGACCTAACCGATAATACACCTCAAACAGAAGAAAAAAAAAAAGATGACATGGAGATACCACAGAGCTTGGTGCCTACGGTTCAAATAAGTAGAGGTCACTGCATTTGATGTCCTTTACCAAGAATCTGCTTCATCAAAAGCACATGAAAAACACAGCGATCAAGAAATAATCAGACAATATACTTCAAACTACGGGTAAGTTTATTTATAGAAAGAAAGCTCAACAAAGACGATAAAGAAATAGAGGGGTGAGATTAACGGTGTCAGATCCAAGAAAACATTCTTCAGAGAAAAGATTAGGATTTCCATGTGGTCTAAAGCAGCAAAATCAATACCCATTTCAAAGTAGAAGATACAAGACATTAAGTAGATCTAACTATCTTGGCAAAGGAAGCAACATAGGGTTTCAAGGATTTTGTACATCTAGCATATTCGAAGTAGAAGATAAAAGACATTAAGTAGATCTAACTATCTTGGCAAAGGAAGCAACATAGGGTTTCAAGGATTTTGTACGTCTAGCATATTCATCAGCAGAGATATTGCATTGTTCACATAAGAGGAGGCAACATGCACAGAGGAAGCTTTTTTGGTTTTTAGCCAAGAGTTTCTTGCATGTGCATTTGGTATGCATTGTTCATGGAAAAAAAAGCACACAACATCATTAGAGTCCTGAATGCAAGAGTCGGTTGTCCAGTCACTGTGGCTGCCTCGAGCTTTGATGGTCACCACTCTATCCACCACAAAAACTACCACAAGATCCTCCACAAATGACAAAGAGGACAATTGTGAGGTGGGGTTTGAGGACACAGGAGGTCCTCGTTACTCATTACAGAGAACTCCAACAAAGGTTTGCTCTTGCAAAGGTTTCCTCTAAGACGAGAATGGTAGATTAGTTTCGAAATTAGGATTTAAGAGCCTCAAATTCTTGTCTCAAGCAAGTCAGAAAGCTCATCAAAGATATATGTTTACCTAGGGTTTGCATAACTTTCTAATCAACATCGAGTGAAAGCAGGGTATTGGGATCATCACAAATTTTCTTAAATTTAACAATATATGCAATAAATGACAAAGCTTGTTGCAAGCACGATGAGAAGATTTATAGCATTATAGACGTGGGATATATTGCTTAGTCCAAAATACAAATAATTTAAGCAATCCATCAATTTTGCAACATACTCGTAGTGATTAATTAGGGGAATGACAGAAGTTCAATAGACTTCCTAATTTATAGGAACAATCGAGCATCATCCTGTAACCATTGCTCACTGTATCTGCGCGTGGTCTAGCAGGGAGTTCAGAGGAAAGGTGGGAAGCCTTCCCACTTCTCTATAAGTAAGCACACTTCTTTGCTACATTCGAAGAAGTTGGAGCAATTAAATTTGTCATCAATGATCTGAGTTGCTATTACATCAGCAATAATAGGTTTCTTGTTAGGAGGTAAGCCTCACCCTAAATCTAATCCAATCATTTGTCATGTAAAACAAAGAAAAGAAACAGATAACAACAACCAATATTACACAAACCGGAGATTAGTATGTGTTGGAGTAAAGGACATGACAGCAAAAAGAAGCAGCAGTACGCACCTTCAACCATAAACACATTATCGAATAAGCAGAACTTCTAGCTGTGAGAACTAATGATCACACTAAACACATGCCCTAGTTCAAACCCTTACAAACCCTAATTCTCACAAACTCTCAAAGAGTAACCTAGATCGGATATCATGTAATATGATGCTTAAGAGGTTGCGGCAAGTAATTTATACATGGAGTACCCCAACAAACATAATTGTTGAGTTTAAGTTTTTCTGTTGTATTCAAGCTTTCCTTGTAAATACCTTTGGGTATAAATAGATGGTTTTGTTTGTTTCTTTATAACCTTTTGAAGCTTAAATGATATAAAAATTCTCTCTATAATTTTTGAATCTGCCATTGTTGATTAATCTTGAGTTCTTGTGATTATGAGTTTGAATGATTAAACTGGGATTATCAATTGGTATTAGAGCAGATTACAGCAACTCAGATCAATTTTTTAATAGTTTTGATTGATTTCTTGAAGAATCTTTTAGGATTTTACAGTTTCCTTGGTCGAACATTTCTTTGTCCGAATTTTTTCAAATTCAAGATCAAATTCTTGATGTTTTGGACAGGAATTTGATTGGGGTTTGATTAGAATCTTTGTGATTAATTCAATCAATTTGCAAGAAATCAAAGATCAATTTGAATTTTTTAGAGTTCGATAGTTTACAAAAGTTCTTGAATTGTTTTGTTCAATTTTGAACAAATTGACTGATTTTGATCTGTTTTTGACAAAATTGTATTCATAAAACTTGTTTAGAATGTATTTTCAAGCATATCTCTACTAGTTTTAGTAACAAATTTGTGGATTTTTTATCAAAAAATTTCAAAAATCGCCTAACGCAGAAAATCGCCAGCACATAGACATATTTTCAAGCATATCTGTAATTTCAGAGAAATTCTATTGTTATTCTCATTGAAAAGCAAAAAGGGTATTTATACAGCTTAGAGACCTAAGAATCCCATAATTTAAGGGATTTGATAACATAAAAGGAAACTTACCAAACTATACAAATATCTACCAAATTTGTCACAAAGGGAAAAATAATCCCAAGAAATCAGGGATTATATTCACTGTATCAATTCCACACTCCCCCTCAAGTTGTTGCATATATATCATATATGCCTCACTTGTCTATAAGACGATCAAATGCCGGTCTAAATAGTCCTTTGGTTAAGATATTTGATGTTTGCTCTTTGGAAGGGATGAATGCAATGCAAATAGTCCCATTGTCCAAGTTTTGCCTTATGAAATGTCGGTCCACTTCAATGTGTTTTGTCCTGTCATGTTGGACTGGATTTTGTGAGAAGCTAATGGATGTTTTATTATCACAAAACAACTTCATAGGTAGCTCAACCTTTAGATGCAAGTCAACAAAGACCCTTTTGATCCAGATTATTTCACATATGCCATCTGCCGTTGATCTGAATTCAGCTTCTGCACTGTTTCTGGATACAACACTTTGTTTCTTGCTTCTCCATGTGACAAGATTTCCCCATACATAAGTACAATATCCCGACTTAGATCTTCTGCTCATGTTTGGGTCTGCCCAGCTTGCATCAGTGAAGGCTCCAATGGTTCAGTTGTCTCCTTTTTTAAAAGAGTAGTCTTTTGCCTGGACAACTCTTTAAATATCTAAGAATTTTGTGGACAACTTCTTCATGTTCTTCATAAGAACATTGCATAAATTGGCTCACCATGCTAATTGCAAAAGCAATGTCAGGCCGTGTATGTGATAAGTAAATCAACCTTCCAACTAACCGTTGGTATTGAAGAATATCAACCTGCTTCTGATTAGTAATGCCATCCAACCTTTTGTTGGGGTCAATTGGAGTATCTATCGGTCGGCATGCACTCATTCCAATATCTTGTAAAAGATCGAAAACGTATCTCCTTTGTGACAATACAATGCCCTTACTTGACCGTGCAACTTCCATACCTAGAAAGTATTTCATTTCTACAAGGTCCTTTACTTCAAACTCTTTAGCAAGTCAATCCTTCATTCTTTCCATCTCCTCATGATCATACCTGTGACGAGTATGTCATCTACA